CGACGACTGAGTCAAATGCAAAATATTGTTCATGAAATTACAAAAAAAAGTCAAGCTAAGCAAAAAGAGTACTATGATCGGAAAAGTTCACATAGGAAATTTCAGATTGGCGATAAAGTATTGGTATTATTACCAACGCCTGGGAGTAAACTCGAAAGCAAATGGCAGGGTCCTTACACTGTCATTAAAGTTGGGTCGAACGGTTTGAATTATGAATTAGATCGAGAAAAGGGGCGAAAACAAAAACGGACTTATCATATCAACTTATTAAGGCTTTGGAAAACTCGAGAGGAAATAAGTAGTTTTGCTCCCTCAGGACCACTTTCTGAGCATTTATCACATGAGCATAGTTTTCCCTCTGTTGAAAAGGATGAGACGTGGGAAGATGTCGAAATTTCATCGGAATTAAGTGAGACACAAACCGTAGAGGTTCGAGAATTACTTAAGGAATATTCGGATGTTTTTTCAAACATTCCGAGTCGAACAAATGTAGCTGTGCATACTATTGACACAGGTCAGGCAAGTCCAATTCATTCTAGTCCATATCGGATTCCACAAAGTTTAGTGAATGCGGTAAATAAAGAATTGGATCAGATGTTAGAAATGGGGATAGTTCGACCCTCAATTAGTCCTTGGGCATCGCCTGTAGTTATAGTTCCAAAACCAGATGGAAATATTCGATTTTGTGTCGATTATCGTAAATTAAATCGCGTAACTAAAATGGATGCATATCCTATGCCACGCACAGATCAAATGCTCGAAAAGATTGCTAAGGCTAAGTTTATTTCTACTATTGATCTAACTAAGGGGTATTGGCAAATTCCTTTAGACGAGGAAACCATCCCAAAATCAGCATTTATTACCCCTCGAGGTCTATTTGAATTTATCGTTATGCCGTTTGGCATGAAAACAGCACCCGCCACTTTTCAACGAATGATGCGAGATAAAGTGTTACAAGGTTTGGAAGCCTTTGCCGATGCTTATATTGATGATGTTGAGATAGATACATATTCAACGTTTGAAGAACATATATTACATCTTAGAAAAGTTCTCGAAAGGTTACGTAAAGCTAAATTGTGCGCAAGACCTTCCAAATGTAAGATTGCCAAGTCTGTTGTAGATTTTGTTGGTCACCTGGTTGGTAGGGACACCATAAAACCTCGAGATGCGTTAGTACATACCATAGAAAAGTTTCCTAGACCTGAAACCAAAAAACAAGTCCGCTCATTTTTGGGACTCACTGGGTATTACCGTAGGTTTATAAAAAACTATGCAGATATTGCAATCCCTTTGACTAATCTGACGAGAAAAATTGAGCCTACACGTGTACGATGGACCGATGCGTGTGAAAGGGCATTTAAAGAATTAAAATCTTTTTTGAAATCACCCCCAATCCTAAGACCCCCACATTGGGATGAATTGTTTATATTGCAAGTAGATGCGTCAGATCATGGTGTAGGAGCAATACTTTGTCAATTAGACAGTGAAGGTCAGGATCATCCTGTTGTGTTTGCTAGTAGGAAGCTACAACCTCGAGAAATGAAGTTGTCTACCACTGAGAAAGAGTGTCTAGCAATAGTTTGGGCAGTTGAGACATTTAGGTATTATTTGTTTGGGAGAAAATTTATACTTCAAACGGATCATAACCCTTTGGTTTGGTTAAACCAGGTTAAAAACAAGAATAGAAAGTTATTGCGATGGAGTTTAACCCTTCAGGAATATGATATTGAAGTTGAACATAAGTGTGGAGAGAAGCATGTGAATGTGGATGCGCTCAGTAGAATACCATAAGATTTCAACGTGCAACAGGTCGATCGTTCAGTCCCAAGGGAAATTTCGTTTGTATCTCCCCCTCGGGTACGTTTCCATTCTGAACTATTCTTGCTAACTGTTTGTATTTTTAATAAATTAAAAAAAAAAAAAAAAAAGTAATGTAAATAATTTATCTGGGATCTATTACATACGTAATATGATCTTTGGTGGGAAGGTGTAGCCCAGGGAGCCAGTAGAATAATAAATTATTGTACATATAGAATATATAATCAAGCTACGAGATTATACGTATAGAATTTATAATCAAGCTACGAGGGAATAAAAGGCGATCATCAGTGAACACTGAGGCAGAACGAAGCAGAACTTATGTTGAAGTAGAACCGATTAAGGAGTGGTCTACAAACTGAAATATACTCGATAAACTAAAGCGTACGAATTACGTGAAGCGTCGCACTTTACATTATATGGATCTTCAATGATCAAATGGTAGATCTTCAATGATCAAATGCTCTGTTATAGTCTTCAGTGACTTGAGCAAGACACTACGTTGTAAACGTGTAAGCGAAGTTATTCGGGAGAGCTCTGATATCGGGATTATCGCAGCTAGTTGCAGAAACCACAGGAAAGGAACAATTCGCCGAAGAAAGCAAGTATACCGTAGCTTGAGAAACTTTAATAGCAATTATACTTTAATAGTTTTAGTCTTAGTTCTTTGTAGGAAAAATATAAAAATATATATACTGAAATTCTGTCTATGAAGATATATTTGCCGACACCCACACAGACGGATTAAAATTCGTCACACTACCGCACATGAAATTATAACATGATATCGCTATTTTACACAGTGCATGAAATTTCGTTATTCATATTTTTTGGTTCATCGTTTATTTGTGAACATTTTTAAACTTGTATAGCAGAATACATCAGTAGGCCCCGTATAAAGACGAATATAAAGTATAGACTTCAAGTTGATGCAACGAGACTAAAAACAAATAAACCACGAGTAGTACAGCGTGAACTGAGTGGGGCACGCAGAACATCATAGGTGCCGACGACCGAAATTATATTTTGTATAGTCTCTACTCTGTGCTACGCGGTATTTGTTATCCAATAATTATGCAAAATTTAGAAAAAATCGAAGTTTCCCGGTGTAAAGTTTCCCACGTATAAAAAACACTAGCTTAGAGTAGAACCGCCTTTGTGAACGATTTGCATTACGAGAGGTATTTTGTCTTGTATGTTTGACTTCGCTTTACTAAATTCACCTGCTCATGTACTGATAAATGTTAAATATGTTTAACGTTAATGCTAATGATTAAAATTCATTTCTTTATGTATGACTGTATCTACTATACTATGTCACCTCCATGTATTAATAAGTCTTTTGGAATGCCGCAAATTTTGTGATTGCAGAAATTTTTGGAACGATGTCCTATATGGTATAACGACTGTCTAAAATAGACACAAACGCTTCTTGACGTTTCGACCAAAGGCGAGGTATATTATTTTATACTAGCAGTGCGATTCATGATTCAAACTTAGACCGCCAAACCAGTTTACCTAAGCGGCGTCTGATCTTCACATCTGATCAGATTTCCGAACTGGTGCTATCACGGCAGCCCCAGGCCTGTTTCAGACGTCGAACTTTTCATGTACCAAACATAATGCCATAGTCGCGGGCAATAGAAGCGTTCCAAAAACTATGGAGAAATTCATTTGCTCAAATTTATCGGTTGGCTTGCGGAGTTCATCAAATATTTGAAAAACTCCTTGAAAACTCATAACTTCCGGTTTCGAATTGACCAATCTCTAATTCTATTGGATATTAAAATAAATAGACGCATATGATTGGTCCATTCGAAACCGGAAGTTAGGAGTTTTAAATAATTGATGAACTCCGTAAGCCAACTGCTGAATTTAAGCAAATGAGTCGCTTGATATTTTTTGGAACGCTTCTATTGCCGCGACTGTAATGAGCTAAAGTCTTCGTTAATTAAAATATTCTTGTATGTTTGCATGGTGACATCATAAGTAATTTAGCTTGTAGGTACACCACGTGAGTATTTACTACCGCAAAGCTTTCGGTCCGTTAACCCGCGCGCGTTCATCAGTGCAATTACTTGAATACACAGCTAATTCTTTCTTTGTTATTGATTGTTTAAGTTCATTTGCATTCAATTCAGCACATGAAAAGTTCGACATCTTAACGGGCCTTCATTCATTCAATGCTAACTAACAAATTGTGGTTATAGTTGTTTTCAAAACTAAGTATTCTTTATGGAAAATTACTTCTTTAGGCGTTCCCACAGAGTAGAAAAGAGTTTCTTATAAGCTCTGATGTACTTTCTATGTCTCAATGCATAGATAAAGGAATTAGCGATTGAGTTTATGCCAACCACCTCCGTTACGACGCGAAGCTGCAAGTGTGCTGATCTGTCATTCAGCACTATACTTCGTGAATCCCAAAACACGAAGCAAAACACTGAGTTTCTTACTCTGTTTCCTGTTCACTCTTTCTAAAAATTAGCAAATCAACCTATTTTACTAATTCAAAACATTCCCAGATACTGCAGATAGTGAGGTTTTAAGTCAGTCTCAAACGTTCAAAAACTCAGAAAAACCACCTTCAATTTAGGCATCAAAGATGGCGGCGTAGTTATCGTTCCAGGTTTTATTACAGTTTATTGCACCATTCATGCGAATTATTTATTCTTAATACCGGCATTTTATATCATTTAGCCACCTTAACGCAGGAATAAATTATGTAAAAAAACATTACGTAATCACAGGTTTGATTTTCGTCAAGAATTCGTTACGTTTTCGGATGAAAATTGTCAATACTTCACTCATCCCTATCGAACCGTTGAATAAATTGAATATTTTCTAAATGCATAATTAAAGCTGTTATATTTATAAACTTTGAAGCTAAAAAAAATGTCTTTGTTCGGAAGTTTTAATTTTAAAGAAGTGGATTTTCACTTGAGGACCGTCGTCATTATAATTTTTTTATTTCAATTCACCGAAATTTCCTGGCGCCAAATTTGAATGGCTGAATTTGCTGAACTCCAGTTTGCGCTTTGCGCTATAGAGCAGTCTTCTCTTTCAAGATCACTCAAGAAGTTTTGCCTGCAAAGATCGCCGACGTTTCAAGTGTTACCAGATGTTTTTGGGCACTTTTAGCTGCACGTAGGCTAGCTCTATACGGTCGACAACGAAAACCGAGCAAGAAGCAAAATGTGCAATTCAACTGATGATGCTGGAGATGACGAAGAATTCTTGCCGATCTTTCTGGTACTTAACATCCTCTTCTTAATCATTGGAATATTGGGAAATATGGCGGTCATTATTTATAACATATATCTGAACCAAGACAAAACTTCAAGCAGCTGGTTGGTTACGAACCTTGCAATTGCTGATCTTTTGGTCTGTTTATCACTTTATCCAAGAAAAATCGCCGAGTTCTTTCTGCTTGATAAAGACGACGCTATCAAAAATTTGAAGATAGGTAATTCAACAACATATGTTTCGCTTCTTCTCTCCACAATGTTTCTGCTGTTCATTACCGTTGATAGATACGTGTTCATTGCAAAGCCTCTGAGATACCCATTGATCGTAACATCAGGACGAATTAAGGTAGCTATCCGCTGTATTTGGCTGGTTGCAGCGTTCTTGCTTTTAGTTTTTGTTTCTGTATACGTGACGGTCGAGAAATCTGAACAAAAATTACCCAAGTTGCTTCACACATTTCTATTGCCAACTCCCATTGCTATCATTGCATTTCTAAACTGCAAGATATTGAAGATCGTTCGAGAACAGCGACAACGAATGGCTTCAGAAACTGGACTACAGTCTGAGGAAGTAAAGTTGGAAGACATTCAGCCGGCCGGACCAACACAGAGTAGTGATGAACAACAAAGACCAGCACAAGAACGCGAAGAAAAATCAAACTCCGAACATACGGAGCGATCGAGCGATCAATACATAGGCTGGTTACATCACATCGTAAAAGAATTGAAAGCAGTAAAGACATTTGCCATTATCTTCGCTATTCTGACATGTTGTTTTGTTCCATTTATTATCATTATTTTGCTTGAATCATTTTGCTGCCAAACGTGTTTCTCGGGCCACGCGTTACTCGCAAAACATATTGTTTTACAGCTGATTGGTATAAACTCAATTGCTAATGCCTTCGTATATGCATTAAGACATAGAAGATACAGGAAGGCTTTTCTGAAGTTCTTTTCTACCTTTCGGGCACGGCGGTAACTGACTGGTTCCGTAAACATTGCACAGACGAATAATAAATACATATTCGTATACTTTATATTCTACACCAAAGATCTTTCCTTCGGCCACTTCTAGTAGTCCTGGGAACGAGGTTACACTTCGAGTAATTCCTAAATGCATGAATTTAATGCTTGACGTTAGATAAAGATCCATTTTCTAGACGGATTTAGAATTAGGGCTAACCCTAATAAAACATTTTACAAAGTGTGTGAAATTTCGTTATTCATATTTTTCTGTTCACCGTTTATTTGTGAACATTTTCAAACTTAGCAATACATCAGTAGTAAGTTTTGATATAACGAGACTTAAAACAAATAAACCACGAGTAGTACAGAGTAAACTGAGTGGGGCACGCAGAACATCATAGGTGCTGACGACCGAAATTATATTCTGTATAGTCTCCACTCTGGGCTACGCGGTATTTGGTATCCAATAATAATGAAAAATTTAGAAAAAATTTAAGTTTTCTGGTGTAAAGTTTCCCACGAGTAAAAAAATACTACCTTAAAGTAGAACTGCCTCTGTGGACGATTTCCATTACGAGAATTATTTTGTCATGTATATTGGACGTCGCTTTACTAAATTCACCTGCTCATGTAATATATGTTAAATATGTTTTAACTGAATTTTAAATTAATACGTTAATGCCAATGATTAAAAGTTATTTATTTACGTATGACTGTATCTACTATACTATGTCATCTCTGTGTATTAATAAGTCTTTTGGAATGCTGCAAACGATGTCTTATATGGTATAACGACTGTCTAAAATAGACAAAAACGCTTCTTGACGTTTCGACTTAAGGCGAGGTATTATTATTTCATACTAGCAGTATGATTCATTCACGATTCAATCTTAGACCGCCAAACCAGTTTACCTAAGCGGCGTCCATCTGATCAGTTTACCAACTGGTACTATCGCGGCAGCCTCGGGCCTGTTTCAGACGTCGAACTTTTTACGTGCCGAACCGCAAATGTCACAATCGATAGAAGCGTTCCGAAAAATATCGAGTAATTCATTTGCTCAAATTTATCAGTTTGCTTACGGAGTTCATCAAATATTTGAGAAACTCCTTAAAAAACTCATAACTTCCGGTTTTGAATAGACCAATCTCTAATTCTATTGGATAACAAAATAAATAGACGCATATGATTGGTCCATTCGAAACCGGAAGTTAGGAGTTTTAAATAATTGATGAACTCCGTAAGCCAACTGCTAAATTTGAGCAAATGAGTCGCTTGATATTTTTCGGGACGCTTCTATTGCCGCGACTGTAATGAGCTAAAGTCTTCGTTAATTAAAATAATCTTGTATGTTTGCATGGTGGCATCATAAGTAATTTAGGTTGTAGGTACACCACGTGAGTATTTACTACCGCAAAGCTTTCGTCCGTTAACCCGCGCGCGTTCATCAGCGCAATTACTCGAATACACAGCTAATTCTTTCTTTGTTATTGATTGTTTAAGTTCATTTGCATTCAATTCAGCACATGAAAAGTTCGACATCTGAACGTGCCTTCAGTCATTCAATGCTAACTAACAAATTGTGGTTATAGTCTTTAGGCGTTCCCACAGAGTAGAAAAGAGTTTCTTATAAGCTCTGATGTACTTTCTATGTCTCAATGCATAGATAAAGGAATTAGCGATTGAGTTTATGCCAACCACCTCCGTTACGACGCAAAGCTGCAAATGTGCTGATCTGTCATTCAGCACTATACTTCGTCAATCCCAAAACACGAAGCAAAACACTGAGTTTCTTACTCTGTTTCCTGTTCACTCTTTCTAAAAATTAGCAAATCAACTTATTTTACTAATTCAAAACATTCCCAGATACTGCAGATAGTGAGGTTTTAAGTCAGTCTCAAACGTTCTCAAAAACTCAGAAAAACCACCTTCAATTTAGGCACCAAAGAAGGCGGCGTAAATATCGTTCCAAGTTTTATTACAGTTTATTGCGCCATTCATACGAATTATTCATTCTTAATACCGGCATTTTATATCATTTAGTCACCTTAACGCAGGAATAAATTATGTAAAGAAACATTAGGTAATCACAGGTTTCGTTTTCGTCAAGAATTCGTTAAGTTCTCGGACGAAAATTGTAAATACCTCACTCCATTTCGTTCGATGTAGACGGCATTTTTGACAACGTATCCCACAATCCATATCGAGCCGTTGAATAAATTAAATATTTTTAAATAAATTAGAGCCGTTATGTTTATAAACTTTGAGGCTGAACAAAATGTTGCTGTTTGGACGTTTTAATTTTAAAAAAGTAGATTTTTACCTGGCGACCTTCGTCATTATAATTCTTTTCATTTCAATTGCGCTATGGTGCAGTCTTCTCTTTCAAGATCACTCAAGTTTTGTCTACAAAGGTCGCCGACGTTTCAAGTGTTACCAGATGTTTTTGGGCACTTTTGTCTGCACGTAGGCTAGCTCTATACGGTCGACAACAAAAACCGAGCAAGAAGCAAAATGTGCAATTTAACTCATGAAAATGAAGATGACGAAGAATTCTCCTGGTTCCTTCTGGCACTTAATTTCCGCTTCGTAATTATTGGAATATTGGGAAATATGGCGGTCATCATTTATAACATATATCTGAACCAAGACAAAACTTCAAGCAGCTGGTTGGTTACGAACCTTGCAATTGCTGATCTTTTGGTCTGTCTAACACTTTATCCAATGAAAATTATTGCATTCTTTCTGGATGAAGATCTAATTTGGAAGAAAGGTTTATCGGCACCTCGTGTTTTGTCTTTTCTTTCCATGATGTTTCTGCTGTTCATTACCGTTGATAGATACGTGTTCATTGCAAAGCCTTTGAAATACCCATTCATCGTAACATCGAGACGAATGAAGGTAGCTGTCCTTTGTATTTGGCTGGTTGCAGCATCGTTGCTTTTAGTTCTCTTTTCTGTCTACATGGTGGGCGGAAAATCTCTATATTATAAATTGATGCCGTTTCACACATTTCTATTGCCAACGCCCATTGCTATCATTGCAATTCTGAACTACAAGATGTTGAAGATCGTTCGAGAACAGCGACAACGAATGGCTTCAGAAACTGGACTACAGTCTGAGCAAGTAAAGTTGGAAGACATTCAGCCGGCCGGACCACTACAGAGTAGTGATGAACAACAAAGACCAGCACAAGAACGCGAAAAGAAATCAAACTCCGAACATACGGAACGATCGAGCGAGCAATACATAGCCTGGTTACATCACATCGTAAAAGAATTGAAAGCAGTAATAACATTTGCCATTATTTTCGCTATTTTGACATGTTGCTTTGTTCCATATATTATCATTACGCTGCTTCAATTATTTTGCAGCCAAACGTGTCTCTCCGACGACGGTCCTAAACTTGCAATACATATTGTGTTACACCTGATTGGTATAAACTCAATTGCAAATGCCTTCGTATATGCATTAAGACATAGAAGATACAGGAAGGCTTTTCTGAAGTTCTTTTCTACCTTTCGGGCACGCCTGTAACTAACTTTGTAAACGCCTGCAAGGCAATCATTGCACAGACCAATAATAAGTACATATTCATATACCTTATATACTAGACCATGGATCTTTCCTTCGTGTTTAGCTTAGAAGTCCTGGGAACGAGTTTACATTGAGGATACCCCGACAATAATTTTCAAGAATTTCCTAAATGCACGAATTAAATGCTTGAGGTTAGATAAAGATCCATGTTCTAGACAGATTTAGGATTAGGGCTAACCCTAATCAACTTTAAACCTAATCCGAACCTTAATCTAATGTGAATGATTAAATATGTATATTGATCTTATTACCGCACATGGAATTATCACATGATATCGCTATTGATGGTTAATCACCGACATCGTCTTTTAGTTCTTAATAGACTTGCCCCACGTCCAGCCTCACGATCAAAGTATTTTAATCTTAAGGGACATGTCACAGCTCTCGGAAGCTTTCGCTGAATTGCACAATGTTTTCAGTCTATGCTTTCTAAAAAACGAAGCTATGCTATTGGTTGAAACAGAAATGTATTGTAAAGTTCAGCCAATGAAAATCATTCTTGCGAGGAGCTGCGACACTACCGAAACTTAAGAGTGATACCGCGCGAAATGAAAAAATGACGTCAGTTGATAAGGACTTTGTGAAAGTCTATTAGTTCTTAGTTACCGTTTCAGCAGCTTCTAGGAATGTTTAGTTTCAAACATTTTACATAGTGCGTGAAATTTCGTTGTTCATATTTTTTCTGTTCATCGTTTATTTGTTAACATTTTCAAACTTAGCAATACATCAGTAGGCTCCGTGTAAAGACGGTTTATAAAGTATAGACTTCAAGTTGTTATAACGAGACTGAAAATAAATAAACCACGAGTAGTACAGCGTGAACTGAGTGGGGCACGCAGAACATCATAGGTGCCGACGACCGAATTTATATTCTGTATAGTCTCTACTTTGTGCTACGCGGTATTTGTTATCCAATAATTATGCAAAAATTAAAAAAAAAATTTCCGACGTAAAGTTTCCCACGTATAAAAACACTAGCTTAGAGTAGAACCGCCTCTGTGAACGATTTGCATTACGAGAGGTATTTTGTCACCTACCCATGTAATATATGTTAAATATGTTTTAACTGAATATTAAATAAATACGTTGATGCCAATGATTAAAAGTCATTTCTTTATGTATGACTGTATCTACTATACTATGTCACCTCTGTGTATTAATAAGTCTTTTGGAATGCTGCAAACGATGTCTTAGATGGTATAACGACTGTCTAAAATAGACAAAAACGCTTCTTGATGTTTCGACTTAAGGCGAGGTATTATTATTTCATACTAGCAGTTTACATAAGCGGCGTCTGATCATAATATTTGATCAGATTTACGAACTGGTACTATCGTGGCAGCCTCATGCATGTTTCAGAGGTCGAACTTTTCATGTGCCGAACCA